AAGGAAGGAAGGAAGGAAGGAAGGAAGGAAGGAAGGAAGGAAAGAAGGAAGGAAGGACACAGGCTGAGGTGCTTGGAGAAGGTTGTGGTTCCCAACACCTCTTCCAGTTATAGTAGAACATACCTGTGAGCCCAGAACACAGGGGGCTAGCCTGGACTACAAAGCAAGACCCCCCACGTCTCATAAGAAAACGAACAAGCAGGGAGTCCACATGCTTCTGGGTCACACGCAGGCTGTGCCTACAGCCGTGAGTGTGGCCACTGTGGGGACTTGCTGTTTGTAGCTCCCTCCCTGGTCCTTCTTGTGCTTACTGGGTCTAAGCTATGCCACTGGAAGACATGACACCAGGGAGATTGGAAACAGGGGTCACAGTCATTTGGTGAGGTTGAGTGGGGGGGGCAGAGAAATGGGGCACAGACCCAGAATCTGGCAAGTGGGGAGTGAAAAGCAGCTGGGCTTGCTGAGGTGTGCAGTCACCTCTAAGCCCTGCTTGACACCCCGCCTTGGTGGCTCATTTGCTCTGTGGCTGCATGAAAACTCCACACCCTCTCTGGGCCTCAGACAGACCTGCATGACTCCCATGCCAATAACCATCTTTCTTTTCTGCCACCATCACCAAGACCTGAGTTTGTTTCAGACAGAGACATGCTTGGCTTGACAGCTAGGTAAGGCCACTTGGCTCGCTTCCTGCTGTGAGATCTGCATAAAGCAATGGGTACAAATCCCCAGACTAGTCCCCCAATGGAAGGACTTCATTTTGCCTCATCAGCACTTCCTCTTGTTTCTGGTCAAAGATGCAATGGTGGAGTTCGGCAGCCACCTTGGACCATGAGGATATCTTGAAGATAGATCTCATGTACAGGGGGAGATAAAATAAAACTTTAAAAAAGGGTACTGGAGCCAGGCATGGGGGAACAAGCATGTCATCCCAGCGCTCACAAGGCTGAGGCAGGTGGTTATGGAGTTTAAAAGAAGAAAGAAAGAAAGAGAGAGAGAGAGAGAGAGAGAGAGAGAGAGAGAGAGAAAGGAAGGAAGGAAAGAAGGAAGGAAGGGAGAAAGAAGGAATGAGAGAAAGAAAGGCCCTGACTCTAGAGCTATATATGTGTCCTGGATGCTCCTTATAGATTTAATTCACACAATTAAGGGGGTAATGATATGTGCATATATATGACTATATGTAACCACTGTTTTCAATATTTAGATAGCCCCCATAGACCCTCCTATTTAAGCTGGCATGAGTTTGTGTATTCTTGGGTGAGGAACCGTTGATGTAAAAATGGCTTTTGTTGTTGTTGTCATTGTTGGTGACCACGCACCGGGAAGCCTTGCTGAATCCCATTTAATATTCTGTCTGTGGATTTGTTCAGCCTTGTCTGCCTCCAGGAATGGCATCTCTTCCCTTCTCTCCTTACATGCCTGGCTGTCTGGCACAGCCTCAGACCACAGCAGCAGTATCTAGTATCTGCTGCTCTAGCCTTTTCCTGGCCCTTCAAGACATAGATGCAGCTTGGGGGAACGAAAAGCTCCACGAGATGAAGGTAATTCTTTTCCATGAAGACTGTGGGCCTTGTCCAAGAGCTGTGTGTGCTCAGGCTTCATGAGCGCTGGGCTATTTTTTTCTCCCTTGATCCTCTGAGGCAGATATGCTGGCCAGTTCTCCACTGTTGATGTTTTCTCTGGGATAAACTTCCTGATAGTGAGGGAATGTGGTTATTTTTCTGGATTCAGCCAGTGTTTTATTTAGTGTCTCCATCTGTGCTCATAAATGAAATGGGCCTGTAACATTCCTTTGTGGGTTTATCAAGCTTTTGTAATGTTGGTCACTTATCAAACAGCTCCTTTAGCAGCTTCCCCTCTCCTTCCCGTCTCCCCCTGCAACCTGTGCAACACAAGAATTGTTTCCTGGGGCCAGCACAGCTTTGCCACCAGAACCCCAGGGATGGTGCTCTGAGGTTGGGAGGGTCTTGACTGCCACTCTAGATATGGAACTATGACTCCTCAACTTCAATTCCTCCACTTGTTCTGGGGCCAATCTTTTGACATCTTAGTGTTTCTGTGTCTATGTGCTAGAGAGTGAATGTGTACACCCTGGACACAGGTGAGGAGGCCAGAGGGCAAAGTCGAGGCTCCTCCTTTGTGGCTTTGCACATCATTGTTTGAGGCAGGGTCTCTCTGGGAACCTGGAGTCCCTGATTTGGTGAGGCTGGCTGCCCACTGAGCCCCTGGGAGTCTCCTGCCTCTGCCTCTCAGTGCTGGCTTTACAGATGTGCACTGCCGGACTTAGCCATTTTATTTGGGGGATTCATATCCAGGCCCTCAAGCTTGCACACACCACCCAGGGATCACTCCAGGCCCCTCTTCTGGTGCCTTATATCTTCCTAAGAATTGCTTGATCCCCAGCTTTTAGGTTTTCAGATGTATAAGTGTACAACTGGTTCACAGTGGCCTTTATATTGTTTAATCTCTAGGTCCAGGTCATTGCCAGCATTTTGCTATGTATTTTGTTTACTTGGTCAGGGGATGCTGGGTATGGAACCCACAACCTTGTGAAATCTGGGTAAGCGCTCTGCCCCTGAGACACATCCCAGCCCTTTCTCTACACTGTGCCTCTGGTCAGCCTACTTGGTGTGTGTCTGCTATTAATTTGGTCTTGTTTTGATGGATTCTTTTGATCTCTAGCTTGCTGATTTGTTCACAGACTCTCCTGTTGCACACAGTCACACTCTATTTGGTTCTTTGATGCTGACTCATTCTGCATCTTTACAATGTCATGTGCATCATAGAAGGGGCATGAGCTTCCCCTCCCCAAACTGGAGGCTGCATCTCCAAAATGGATGCCCCCCATAACCCTGCCTCTGCCGTGGCAGGAGGACAGGTTGAGGGAATGCCACCTGCTTGGCTGACACATCCAGCCCCCAGGGTCCCCCTGTGTCTTCTCCTTCTACATGGTCTATAGGCTAGGCAGGAATTGAGATGTCTGGTTCTGGTCCTGAGGTCCCAGGTGCCACGTGACCGGTCCCCAGGGACAGCTGTGGACTTGGACAGTTTACCACTTGGCTGAAGTTTGAGCTGGCAAGGAGTGTGTGGGAAATGACATGCTCCCACAGAAGGGCTGGAATGTGGTGATTATAGTGCCCACATATGACCATCATAGCATGTGGCTCTAAGCCAGTGTGAGCTGGGTATTTCAGAGAGAGGGGATGGTGCCAAGTATGTAGCTGCTGGTGAACCGAGGGTTATGATGGCACATGACAGGGTCCTGGAAATTGGTATGAGGGCTTATTCTCAGGACAGCATGCCAGGGAAAGCCACAGATCCCAGCATGTAGGTGTCTGGATGAATCAGGGACTTGAAGAAGCCAGGGTCCAAGCCTGGCTCTATCACTGTGTACCTTTGGGCAAATCCTCTGCCTTTGTTTGCCTTCAGTTTCCTATCTGTAAAATGGGTGAGAAATAATTCTTCATTTTCCAGGCCTCCCTGGCCACAGTGGTCTATGTTTTATAGACCTGGAAATCACTTATTTCCAGAGACAGCTTTGATTCAGAGAGAGGTTTGGAGGGAGGGCTACAGTGTGACTCAGAATTAGGGGTAGTTCGTTGAGTTGGGACCAGCTGACCCGGCACTAAGTCAGGGGCAATATAAAGCTAGGTTATGCCTATCCTATCTGAGAGCCCCTGTCTTGGTCAGAAGACCCCCATTCCAAGGGCCCACTCCCATCCCTTGCCAGAGTGACATCAGGCAACTCTATGAGGCCCAGTCCCCAATGATGACATCACAAGTTGTCCTTTTAGCCTCCAGGGAC